TTAACCGCGTTTCGCAGTATAGCGGTTAATTATTGTCTATTCGTGATGGCAAACAGACGGGTATGGTATGTGGGGTCATGTGACAAGGGGTATTTAAGTGGAGGACTGAAGGTTGAATGTCAGTCTAGGCCAGTCTCGCTACAGTGCAGTTTTCAACTGGTTGTTTTGTAAGTCTGTTAATGCAGGTGCAGTCAATGGAGCTGTTCATCGGAAAAGCTGTTCCAAGGAATTTTTGTTGAGGGCAGGTGATTTTTTTTCGATTTTTTGTAGGGGACGGGAAATATCTGCACCCCCCTGTGGGCAGGGCAGAATAAAAAAAAATGCAAGGACAGGGAAACTTTTTTTAGTGGGTAGGATACTTACATAAAAAAATATCGCAGGGTGGGCAAACCAGCCTTTAGGGTAGGGTATAATAAAAAGAGAGTAGACTATTTCAATTTATTGCTCGTTGGCTGCACCCGTTAATGCTTGTTGTATAATACAGGGCGACACCCGCCACCTTCCCCTGGGCACGTTCGACAGTGCAACGGGTACAGGTTTCCAGGTATTTTTTGTCCCCAAAGGATTTTTTTTTATTCCTGGTTATTCCTGGGGGCGGTCGGCGTGCCAGTAACGGGGTTACTATTGTTGTCGATGTTTTTGTCAGCTATTTTTAATGTTTTAATGAGTAATGTCAGTGGCATTTGCCGAGCATCAATAGTCGATTTTTTTTTGCAGTCCATGCAGGTTATTTTTTCTCGCATTTAGTTTATTTCAATCTGAACACTACATGCAATGTAATGGCAGCCGTTTTTAGTCGGCTTTATTAGAGTGTTTTGTTGAATAAATGGTTCGCCGGACCGACTGCACATACGTGGCCGCACCTGGCATGAACCTTACCTTATGTAATTGTGTGTTATACATTGTCGGATGTGACGAGTCTAATAAAGACTTATATGCGCCCAGTATATGCCTCGCATATGACGTAGCCGTGTGATGTGGCCGCTGCGCGGAACAGTGGTCACAACAGTGGTCTGAGTAGATCACACAAGTCGAGAACATGGGATTATAGCGCAGCCCAAAACGTGTCGTTGTGATCGTAGTCAAGAACATGTCATTGTCATTTAGAATAAAATTTATATAGAAGAAATGATTGGAATACTAATAATTTTTTTTTTCGACAATTTTTAAAGACAGTTCTGGTCATAAATTAACCGCCATGATACCCTGATCAGGAATATAAACTTACTCACTTAGCCAGAATTCAAGAGCGATCAGGATACACATTGATAATAGCGAGTAACCCAACCGATATGAAATAAATTAATTTCTAGAAGTTCAAGCAACTTGGCTGACGTACTGAATAAATGTTTTCATCGTT